GCTGTTTTTTTCACCTCCGTGCCCAAACGTCTTTATTTGGGCTTCCGAAAGCGAATGATGGCAGGAAACAGTGGTTGCGATTTATTTTTTAACTCTGTCCCTGAGCATTATAACCCCAATTTGTGTGCTGTGCATTTTACTGAGGACAGCTTCCACAACATGAGGGAGTAAAGTGCCTGCCGGATTCGCCAAAAAGCTTTTGTTGAAAGACGGAGCAAGGGGCGTGGCAGTACTGAAACACCGTTTAAGCTGTTCGCCAATCACAACGCACTGGGACAGCTAAACAATCACAACTCATTTTGTTTTTTTCGGAAGGCGGACCTTCATCAAATCCGGAACTAATCGAGCCGTTTGTGCCAGGATGGGGAGAAAGGTATTTTAATAATGTAAATTATGTGAAAAATAATGCGTTTTTCGAACCACCAAGCATGAGAGCATTCATCTACTCTGTGTCTCTCCGCATCACTGTAGCGCTATTTTGGAGAATATGCGCTGATAGCAAGCAGCGTACGCTATTCTGTGTCATTTTCTAGAGGGACATCTTTCACCGTTGCACTCGCGACTCACACAAAATAGCGGCATGTTTAGAAGGCCATGTAAAATTAATGCAGGTTCAACTGTGAAAAAACATATCTCGAGACTTATGGCAGGGGTTTTTCCCCATCCCACTGCAACTTGTGTTTTTAAATGAAAAATGTATTCTGTGTGATTGGCTTTCGGCTTTTATATTAAACTATGAATACATACATGATGCTGTTTTACTCGCGACTCACACAAAATAGCGGCATGTTTAGAAGGCCATGTAAAATTAATGCAGGTTCAACTGTGAAAAAACATATCTCGAGACTTATGGCAGGGGGTTTTCCCCATCCCACTGCAACTTGTGTTTTTAAATGAAAAATGTATTCTGTGTGATTGGCTTTCGGCTTTTATATTAAACTATGCATACATACATGATGCTGTTTTGTTTATAGTTGTTTAAGCAACTTAATGAATTATAATTGGTTTATAAACATTATAAACATGCACTTTTTTTTCCCAGATAGTCATTTTTTCTTGATTTAAATAAACGTGCATTAGTAATATTTTGCTCGATGCGCCCTCTTGTGGCCTCAGGAAAGAAGCCAAAAGCTTTTCTTCACCCTAACTGAAATTATGCATTTTAAATTCGAATTTTGATAATATTTAAGCACAAAATTATTTCTTGCAATGGCAAACCATGTGTCCCCAGACGCGTTTGAGAACTTGCAAGTGCCTTGGTGGAAAAGTGGGGTAATAGCTCACAGCGAGAACTGGCAAATCTCCATGTCCATGAGGATGTGATGCACTGTAGTGCTTAAAGCAGCCTGTGGCTACACAAGATACTTACTGTAACTTTTGAAATTGACAGCCCTCTCGGTTCAGGGACTCATCCCATTTGTTCAAACGTCATTAAAAATGCTGTTTGACTTTGTAAGAACATTTACCTGTTAAGATATTTAACGGAAATAACAGCAGCTGAAAGGACTTTTTAGGATTTATATGCACACTATGACAACTGGAGAAACATCCACTAGTGAGGTCAATGTACAATCAACCTGTAGAGGACACAGAAACTAGTTACCCATGATTTTTGCATAACCAGCCTGCGATCACGCCTTGACCCAAGCGGTTGTAATCAGTACAAAGTAAGAGCTCTTAAAATAATTTAAACTTTGAAACTGATTACATAACCACAGAGAGAACACCAAACAAAGAAAACCAAAGATAATGCAAATGTGCCAACAACAGAATTCTACAAGTCAAAGATATTGAACTACCAGTAGACAAGTGTTTCTTCCCCACCTCCCCCCTTTTCCTAGAAGACATCATACACCTAACATTAAATATTACTACATCAGTAGACCACACTAAAGCCCTTACTGATTTAGAGAACCGAAAAAGAACCCAGCAAACACAAACAACAAGTTTGTTAATGTGATATTTATTGTTTAAAAAAAAAAATTCATGACTTCTATGACTTCACTTGCTGCACCAGCCTCAACATGCCTGGTGAGAAGCGTTTATTTTGAGTAGTCTGAGAGCGCAGTGGTGCTGTATCCTGAAGGTCCGGCTGCAACACATACTCATAGCTTGAAGCAAGTTGTACATTACTGGGTTGCTCTAGGGGTTGGGAACCAAAACTGGAAAGAGACACATAACTTGACTGCTCTGGCATAGAAGGGAGCTGGAATCCAGGCTGAAGAGACACAGATTGGCCACTGGGCTGGGACACAGACTGGTAGTTGGTTTGTGATGACTGCAGGCCACTAGTTTGTGGCACAGACTGGTAGTGAGCTTGTGCTGACTGGTAGTTGATTTGTGCTGACTACAGGCCACTGGGTTGAGAGACCGGCTGGTATCGGGTCAGTCCTAGTTTTTGGCCGCTAGGCTGTTGCATAGACTGGTAGATGGTTTGTGCAGACCGCAGGCCACTAGTTTGTGGCACAGACTGGTAGTGAGCTTGTGCTGACTGGTAGTTGATTTTTTGCTGAATGCAGGCCACTGGGTTGAGAGACCGGCTGGTATCGGGTCAGTCCTGGTTTTTGGCCACTAGGCTGTTGCATAGACTGGTAGTGAGCTTGTGATGTCTGCAAGCCACTGGGTTGAGAGACAGGCTGGTATCGGGTCAGTCCTGGTTTTTGGCCACTAGGCTGTTGCATGGACTGGTAGCTGGCTTGTGCGGACTGTGGGCCACTGGGTTGGGACACAGATTGGTAGCTGGCTTGTGCTGACTGCAGGCTGCTGGGTTGAGAGACCAGCTGGTATCGGGTCAGTCCTAGTTTTTGGCCAGTAGGCTGTTGCATAGACTGGTAGCTGGTTTGTGCTGACTGCAATCGACTGAGATGGGATAGAGCCTGGTACCTGGTTTGTGCTGACTGTGGGCCACTGGGTTGAGACACAGGCTGGTATCGGGTCAGTCCTGGTTTTTGGCCACTAGGCTGTTGCATAGACTGGTAGCTGGTTTGTGCTGACTGCAGGCCACTAGGTTGGGGCAATGACTGGTAGCTGGTTTGTGCTGACTGCAGGCCACTAGGTTGGGGCAATGACTGGTAGCTGGTTTGTGCTGACTGCAATCGACTGAGATGGGACAGAGCCTGGTATCTGGCTTGTGCTGACTGCAGGCCACTAGGTAAGGGCACAGACTGGTAGCTGGTTTGTGCTGACTTTGGGCCACTAGGTTGGGACACCGATTGGTAGCTGGCTTGTGCCGACTGCAGGCTGCTAGGTTGAGAGACAGGCTGGTATCGGTTCAGTCCTTGAGAGACAGGCTGGTATCGGGTCAGTCCTGGTTTTCGGCCACTAGGCTGTTGCATAGACTGGTAGCTGGTTTGTGCAGACTGCAGTTGACTGAGATGGGGAAGAGCCTGGTACTTGGTTTGTGCGGACTGTGGGCCACTGGGTTGGGACACAGATTGGTAGCTGGCTTGTGCTGACTGCAGGCTGCTGGGTTGAGAGACAGGCTGGTATCGGGTCAGTCCTGATTTTTGGCCACTAGTCTGTTGCATAGACTGGTAGCTGGCTTGTGCTGACTGCAGGCCACTAGGTTGGGGCAAAGACTGGTAGCTGGTTTGTGCTGACTGCAGGCCACTAGGTTGGGACACAGATTGGTAGCTGGCTTGTGCTGACTGCAGGCTGCTGTGTTGAGAGACAGGCTGGTATCGGGTCAGTCCTCGTTTTTGGCCACTAGACTGTTGCATAGACTGGTAGCTGGTTTATGCGGACTGCAGGCCACTAGTTTGTGGCACAGACTGGTAGTGAGCTTGTGCTGACTGGTAGTTGATTTTTTGCTGAATGCAGGCCACTGGGTTGAGAGACCGGCTGGTATCGGGTCAGTCCTGGTTTTTGGCCACTAGGCTGTTGCACAGATTGGTAGCTGGTTTGTGCTGACTGCAGGCTACTGGATTGAGAGACAGGCTGGTATCGGGTCAGTCCTGGTTTTTGGCCACTAGGCTGTTGCACAGATTGGTAGCTGGTTTGTGCTGACTGCAGGCTACTGGATTGAGAGACAGGCTGGTATCGGGTCAGTCCTGGTTTTTGGCCACTAGGCTGTTGCATAGACTGGTAGTGAACTTGTGATGTCTGCAGGCCACTGGGTTGAGAGACAGGCTGGTATCGGGTCAGTCCTGGTTTTTGGCCACTAGGCTGTTGCATAGACTGGTAGTGAGCTTGTGATGTCTGCAGGCCACTGGGTTGAGAGACAGGCTGGTATCGGGTCAGTCCTGGTTTTTGGCCACTAGGCTGTTGCATAGACTGGTAGCTGGTTTGTGCTGACTGCAGGCCACTAGGTTGGGGCATAGACTGGTAGCTGGTTTGTGCAGACTGCAGTTGACTGAGATGGGGAAGAGCCTGGTACTTGGTTTGTGCGGACTGTGGGCCACTGGGTTGGGACACAGATTGGTAGCTGGCTTGTGCTGACTGCAGGCTGCTGGGTTGAGAGACCAGCTGGTATCGGGTCAGTCCTAGTTTTTGGCCAGTAGGCTGTTGCATAGACTGGTAGCTGGTTTGTGC